CTGAAGATTTACAGATCCAGATTCAAGATTCATTAATCAAGTCAGAAATCAATTGATTAAGGTATGTTCCGCGTTAATTCAGTTTCTTGATGATTTGACATGAAGATCTTGGCAAGATCATAAAGTTCAAGTTTTAATAAAGTTCCAACAAGTTTACCTTCAGCTGATTTGAGCTTTTTAAAGTTTCCCAGTTCCATTCTTCATTTTTCATGAAGTGCACATCTTTGCTTATGACAATATTCCCTGTTTGTGGTTGAAAGACTTTGTAAGCCTTGGATATTGTACTGTAGCCTACGAAGATGCTTTGTACTGCCTTTTTGTCTAGTTTATCACGCTTAACCTGAGGAACATAGGTAAAGCACAAACAACCAAACACTTTAAGGAAGTTTAGAGACGGTTTATATCCATACCAAGTTTCGAATAGTGTATGATTCTTCACTACCTTTGTGGGAAGCCTGTTCTGAAGAAAAACTGTTGTATTTGCCGCCTCAGCCCAAAATTGCTTTGGTAAGTTTTTCTCGTGTAGCATGCATCTTGTCATTTCCAATATGTATCTATTTCTTCTTTCACTAACTCCATTTTGTTGTGGAGTATAGGGAGTAGTAAGCTGGTGTTCTATGCCCGCTTTCTCGCAAAACAAATTGAATTTTTTTGAGGTGTATTCTTTTCCATTATCTGACCTTAGAACTTGAATGTTGCAGCCACTTTGGTTTTCCACCATTTTCTTGAACTTCCAAAACAATCCAGCCACTTCTTATTTGAATTTTAAGAAACAAATCCAGCATAATCTTGTAAAGTCATCAATGAAGGCAATATAGTAAATGCTACCTTTGGGAGAGGGTGTTCTTTGTGGTCCTGATAGATCAGTGTGGATCAATTGAAGCTTTTGTATTTCTCTTCAAGCTGTTTTTGGAAATGGTTGTCTATGTTGCTTTCCATATTGACATGCTTCGAAGTGAGAAAGATACTCTTCTAAAGCAGGTAATTCCCTGACCAATTGCTTTGTTTGAAGTAGTAGTAGTCCTTGTTGATGATAATAACCAAGTCTCTTGTGCCATATCTCCGTGACACTTTCCTTGGTAGGAAAGGCAGCTTGCTCCTCCTCTAATGGATTAAGTGTGAAGCTCTTTCCTCTCATCTTGACGTTGAACATCTCCTGACCAGATGCATCCTTTATCAGACAGTATTTGTCTTCAAAATGTACTTTGAAGCCTTTCTCTATCAACTGACCAACACTTAACAGATTTTGGTCAATTCTGGAACATAGAGAACATCAGAGATAAATTTTGTACCTAAACAACTTGCAATTGCAATGGTGCCTTTCCCTTGACTGCTATATGCTGTCCATTGCCAATTCTGACTTTTGAAGTCTCTGTGCTTCTTAATTCCTTGAACAGCTCCTTGTCATGTGTCATATGGTTAGTGCAATCACTATCAATTAACCAGCTCTCACTTGAATCACTGCCTGAAAAGCAAGTAGCAACAAAGAGTTGATCATCCTCCTCTTGATCAGCAACTTGAGCATCTGCTTCTTGCCGCTGATTTTTACTTCTGTAAATCACAGCTTCATGACCAAGTTGATTACACCTGCTGCATTTTGCATCAGGTCTGCTCCAGCATTTGAAAGGAGAATGACCCATTCTGCTACAATGTTGGCATGGTGGATAATTTTCCTTTGGACCTCTACTCTTGTTCTTATTTCTGTTTGCTGTAGCATCACCACTTATAGCAAAATTCTTCTTGTTCTCCTTCTTCCTCGGTTTCCGTCCTTCTTGATGCTTGACTGGCAGTGCCCCTTCAACAGCTCCTTCTTGCCTCATGACCCTGCTTTACTTTTGTGCCTGTAGAGCATTTAAGACCTCTGACAAGGTAATCTTGGACAAATCCTTGGTGTTCTCCAAGGTTGTAATGGTTGCCTCAAACTTTTCAGGCACCGTTACTAGGATTTTTTCAACAATCCTCGAGTCTGGTAGATCAGAACCAAGCAATCTTACCTTATTGGCAATGCTTAGAATTTTGTCAGAATACTCTCTAATGGTTTCTGATTCCTTCATTTTCTGCAGTTCAAAATCTCTGATCAAATTGAGCACTTGCATCCCTTTGATCCTCTCATTTCCTTCATACTCTGTTTTGAGATAATCCCAGATTTCTTTTGCTGATTTGAGTGACATGATTCGGGTGAAGATAGTCGATGAAACAGCAGCAAACAAACAGGCCTTTGCTTTTGACTTCCTCGTTTTTCTGTCCTTGTGATTTTGATCTGGGCCATTGTGGTTTTGTTTGGCAGAGGAGGAACTTCGTAATCCTCTTCTATAGCTTCCCAAAGATCCAGTGCATCCAGGCAGGTCTCCATTCTCACAGCCCAAATCTGGTAATTTTCTCCGTCAAACACTGGAGGAGCAATTGATGAAAAACTAGCATCTGTGTCCATGGCATCCACTTAAATTCAATTTCAGACTCTCACAGGTTCCTTAAGAAATCAGCTCTGATACCAATTGTTGTTTGTTGTGAGATTGCAACAGAAAAACAAAGACAACTCTGAAACAATTGCAACAAAAAAAAAACAGAGAACTTTGAAGTCTGAGGAACACCAGAGCTTCTGTCGAAGAAGAGATAATTTTATTAAATTCAATGCTAATATTTAAAGACTTAAAAATAAATAATCACTAAGACCATGTCCTATAATTAAACCACGATTAAACACACATAAAAACTGAACATTAACAACCTACTAGAAACTAGGAAACAAACTTTGAAATATTCAAAAATAGAATTAAAAAAAAACAAACAGGCCACAAACGTGGCAGCAGTCCTAAACACAACAGCTAACAACCTACAGCCCATGTTACATTTTAGAGTGATCGTCCCAAAGAAAGCCCTTCCATTAATCAATGAAGAAATAACAATCAGAACCATAGTAACGTTTAGATCCGTGTTCGGCCATATGGTTCCCAAATCTTTACTGAATCAAGAAAGCCTTGTCCCGTATCAGCTTCCTTTTCGACTCACTCCATCCACTGATCCTATGGATATAAGTCCATATCAGTTTCGTCTACATATTTATTTGTGAAAAAGCTTTTAGCTGCTAGTCATACCAGTTGATATTGTTAAGGGATAAAATCTCACGTTGAATAAAGATGAAAACATAGACCAATTTATTAGGGTTCGGACTACTCCTCTTGATAAAGTTAACCTTTTAAGATGGAATCTCAAATCTTAACATGGTATCAGAGCCCGTTAATCTCCAACAAGTAATTCGATCCTATTAAAACTCGAAAAAATTGAGCAAGCGGATTTTAAGATTGGTCTGCTCAAACGAGCCACCATATTGCGGGGGTATGTTAAGGGATAAAATCCTACATTGAATAAAAATGAAAACATAGATTAATTTATAAGAGTTTGTACTACTCCTCTTGATAAGGTTGATATTTTAAAATGAAACCCCAAATCTCAACGGATACTAGGTCATCATCATCCATGC